GTTATTAAAGCAGTTCAACTTCCTCCTACTTGCCTTGAAATTTCTAATACAAAGCAGCAGATGGCACCACCATATCATTCACTCCTGCCTGATTTTGATAAATCTTCTTGACTAATTCATACTGATTTAGATCACACACCACAGGAAATCTATTTTCATCTTTCAGTTATCCTGTTCCTCTCTTATTCACTGTACAGATGTCCCAACAGAGATTTAAGACCCATCATTATTTTACTGGTGAAGAAACAAGTAGAGAAAATTAAGTAACACATCTAAAGTTACTCAGTGACAGAATTAGGAACAAGGCAACACATGCATTTATTACCGGTAGATAGAACATGGACTCTGAATTTAGAAATTCTGCCAATAACAGATATTTTTTTTCCCTTATGCATTTAAATAGCCCTATTTTGTGCCCCTTGCCACCTCTCATTTAAAAATTTATGGAATATACCAGGTGAATTCCTTCCAAATATTTTGTATGTTCAATTTTTTTTTCCTAAATAAAATTATGAAATTCCCAAATATAAAACAAGCAAAATTAGAGATGCTCTAGCCATATCAATACTGGGAAGTCTAGAGACTTTTCTGTTTGGCCTATCTTTCATCCCATTTTGCTATATTTTCCTTCCTATTAGAAATGATTTTGAGTTAAAGAAAATAGGACAAAAAAAAATATAGCAAATATATTCAATTAACCAAAACATGGATGGCTATTGAGTGACAAAAGCAAATGCAAAGAAGAAGAAGAAAGGATAATGTCACATGCAACTTAAAGCAAACAAACAAATACACATACAAAAAACTCCCCACTTCAAAATGACACCAACCCTTCTTAGTCTATCCCTTGCTTTCCAAAGGCAATGTAAGGACAACGTGGTAAAGTACAACATAGGAAATATAGTCAATAATATTGTAATAACTATGTATGATGCCACGTGGGTACTGGAAATAACAGAGAGAACATTTTGTCAAGTATGATTGTCTAATTGTTATCAGTGAGTGTAATCTGTGTCCTCATCTATGGACGTGGAGTTCTTGCGATGTTGCAAGGAAAGGGATTTCCTGAGGCTCACACAGGAGGATGAGTGATCTTGATTTCCATGGAATTAAACCACTGGGTCTCCAATATTACATTTTCCTGTGTTCTGCATGGAAAGAGTCCAATCTTATCTTCAGTAGGGTAAGAATTAAGACCACTTCCTGGTGTCTTCACTCCATATTAAAGCACAGTCCAGTCCAGCATCTTACATATAGAGTCTGCACGGCCCTGGCCCATGGGGTTGCTTAAGATTACATGGCTATGGAGAGAGAGCATACAATGCATGAGATGAGTGTGGGTCACAGAGCAAAAGCATCAGAGCACAAGAGCAGAACAAGACGTGTAAGAGGGGCAACAGAGAGGGTGCTTTTTGTCTGGGGATTATAACCAGGAATGTAACCCATTAACCCTTCAAGATTGCATGTGCTTGCAGTGGCTTCACCACCCATAGTCAATTGCCTTTTGCCCAGGTTAGACTGACAAGCAAGCACCTTCCCTATGTCACCCCAACTTCACTGTGCATAAGCCCATCTCCCCTTTTGTTGGATTCATTCCCCTAGTGATCTGGAGGAAATGGACAGGTGATTTTCTGGGGAGTGTGAAACTATAGCTTTTTGGTGATGCTGCCAGATGATCATGCTTATAATGCCTGGCCTCTCATTTTTTCTCTTCCTATCCTATATAATAAAAGCCTAATATACAAATTGATCAAATTATGGAAAGACCAGTGGAATGACTGGTCGCTATGATGCACACTGACCACCAGGGGGCAGATGCTCAATGCAGGAGCTGCCCCCAGTTTGCAGGCCCCAGGCCAGCCAAAGTGGGTGCCAGTGAGGGCCCTGCAATGGCCCTGCCAGTTGCCCCGCAGAAGGAGGAAACCAGTGGTGGCAGTGGGGGGTAGGGCCAGCAAATGGGCATGCCAGGCTGGCCAAAGTGGGTGCCAATCGAGTTGCCCACCCCCCTACTCCCCTGATGGCCCTGCCGGTGCCCGTAGATCGGCCCTGATCGTCAGTCAGGCCTAGGAACTCTACCCATGCATTTTGTGCATTGGGCCTCTAGTTATTAATATTAATAACTAGATAATCATAACAATTATGCTATGCACCAGAACCTAATAGAATATAATATTGGAATATAAAAAATAAATATAAAGGAAGAAAGAAAGAAAAAAAGAAAAGAAGGAAGAAAGGAAGGCAACTTCATTGTGATTTGGGGCTAGAAATTGGAATTACCTAAAATTTATTTCTTAGTTCATAAAAAGTATAAATATGTTTGTTTTCTGTCCATCTTCCTCATTAGAGAGTATATTGAGGCACTATGCTAGACATCAGACCCAAAATACCAATAGAGATTGAATACTTGTCCTTTTGGAATTTATCAACTAAATCAGACAATAGAATTTAGTAATTTTAGACTATAATATATAAAGGTACTTGTATGTATTTCATATAGTATTGCTTTTAAAGTATTTCCTGTTACTTACATACATTCCTTTATACATCAACCCAACATTTATTTATTGATAACCTACAATGAATCAGAAGCTAGTCTAAGTTCTTTGAAACTAACAGTGACAAAGACAAGCAAGATTCTTAATTCATGGAGTTTACAAACATGTGGATGAGTGAATCTAATCATAAACAGATGAGATATATCCAAGCATTGTAAAGTGCTTTAAAGAAATAACAAACAATTGTATGATATGATTCAGACTGACATTATTCAGGCATCCTGGTTGTATTCTGTTTCAGACTGAGTAACTAAGGAAGACCTATTGGAGAGGTGATATTTGAACTGAAAACTGATCATCAAGAAAAATTCCACCAGTCACAGTTCTCAAAGCAAAGCACTTCAGCCTATGTGGAAGTTCAAAGTTCCTGAGACAAAAATAAAATTGGTATGTTCCTGTGATTTAAAAAAAGAAGGCTGGTGTTCTTATGAAGGGAAGATGGTTAGGAAATGAAGCTAGAGTGGTAGTCAGACATTATATCATTTAGATCCTTTTAGGGAAGAGATGCTATCCCAAGAAGTGTTCATTAGGCAATAAGTGGTGGTGGTGAATTGTCTGTAGAGAATGAAAAAAATAAAGTGTACTAAAAGTCAGCCTGCTTTTTAGTATCACCATTTATCATACTAAACAATGTCAGTGATAAAATATTCCCTGAAAGTATATTTTGTCGGCCAAAACTTTTAAACAATTATTGTGGTTCCTGTTAAGTTTTAAAACTATCTGTTTATCTAGTAGTTTATACAGTTAATTCTTGTTATTCATGGCAAAGGTCTATGAAGTCACAGAAAACCCTGAATAACTATTGCTTCCGGTTAGGTTCCTATAAGCATCTAGTCATATTTTCGTCAACAGATTAATATACAAACTTGTTTGGGGAGCGGGCCTAAGCTGGCAGGAGACATCCGCCAAGGGCTCCCAGACTCTGAAAAGATGCAGGCTGGGCTGAAGGACCCCCCTTCCATGTACAAATTTTGTGCACTGGGCTTCTAGTACAATTATAAATTATTTACCTGCTCTTTAAGATGTAAAATCTACCACCCTCAAACTTTCTTCAAGGACCTTAGAGACAGCTCTTTGAAAGCATTCAGTGAGTTAGGGAGATAATGCTTGCTCTCCCAGTCCCTGTGGGAGGGAGGATAGGGTGTGTAACTTCAGTGGAAGCACCATTCAGCTTCAACAGGCACCATGGCTTCCTGTCATAAGGACAGACATTTCTTTCTCTTCTGGATAAGTAAAATGAACAAATCCTCATGATCTAGTCACATGGATTAACTCCCCTTAATGCCACTCAGCGACTTTTCCTTAGCACACTCCAGCCTTTAAAAAGTCTCTAGCCTTTTGTTTTGGGGAAGATGCATACAGTTCAAGCTGGTCATCTTCTCTATTTCTTTCAGTAGGAAAAAAAGATTACTGAAGGAAATCTGTCCTAACTGCTTCAGTGCTACATGCCTCCTTCATTCTACTTGCTTCAAAGTCTTATAAATGGGTTGGATACATTTCTAGTTTCCAATGATGGTAAGTGTTTTGGGGGAATTACTATGGCAATTGGAATACTGAAAAACAAAACAAAACAACACAAAACACATAGCATAATATTTCAGCCCCAGAATTCTCTATAATGTTACTAGCAATATAAGTGTATGAAATGGTGAATGAAGCAGTGTACCAAGCAGAAAAGATCATACATTTTCCAGCAAGAGTAGATGTTAGTTTGATTCCGTGCTTCAGTATTTTTACTATCTTCTTAAAACTGAGCAAGGGACTAAAATTACTGTGTTTTAACTTTTTTATTTAAAAATAGGAAAAATAATATCCATCACATGGTCTTGTTGGAAAATTAAGATTGAGTGAGAAAACATGCTCACTGGCTAGTACCTAGCTTATAGTAATTGTTCAATAAATAATTACTACTTTGTATTATCAATCCCTGGCAAATCCCAAAGAAATTTGTTTAGTCTCTGTTGTTAAAACAATGTGTCTTTTTATAGCATCCTTCATATACCTATCTGTAGGTTTCCACTATGAGAGAATAAGTTTCTTCATTTATCCTTGTTTTCCCAGCTCCTGCCATTTCAAAAGATGGGCATTCAATATATGCTTAGTGAATGCATGAGTGCATGAATAAATGAGTGAATGTATAGTAAAACAAAGTAATGATAAAATTAAAGTACCAAAATTGTTTGATAGTTTACATAGGCCAAACCAATTAATGATGTAAAATTTATTTGTGAAAGTAATGAAAAGAGCATAACATATTAATCTTTTTTATGTTTCTTATTTTTGGTCTGAAATAAAGACCTGTCTATGGTGCTGTCTTACAATTTTTTTAAAGTCATCAGTCTCAGAAACAGGATCTAAAGATACAAATGGGAACTTACGACATAGTTTTCATTTCCTGCTTTTGGATAACTGGTTCTACTACTTAAGCTCAACTTGTTAAAGCTCATTAAATGCATAACCCATATGACTTGCTTCATAGATCCTCTTTGGTCCACTGGCAATTGTCTTAGAAGAGAAGGAAGAGCTCTCAAATGCTGTGTCACTTGAGGAACTCAATGGAATAATGGCATACCGATCTGATCTAGAAAATTTGGATGAAGATGGATATACTCAATTACAGTTCAGCTCGAGACCTGTGTCCTCAGAGAAAGGTATTTTTTTTCTTTCTGCCTTCCACATTTTCATTCTCATTAACTAAAAAACTTAACCAAGTGGAGAGAATTTGAAAGACTTGTGAATGTAAGGGTTTTATTAATATACATATATATTATTTTTCAAAAAATGTTTACTTTTTAGAACAGTTTTAGATTTAAAGACAAATTGCAAAAACAGTACAAAGTTCAGAAAACCTTTTAAAATATTGTACATTAGTACATTAATATAAGTATTTTAAAAGATTTTCCAAAGTAACTGAAGATAAGCCTTTTCTTGTAGCAACCATTCAATGACTAATTATTCATATTTAACTTAATTATGAGGATGATAGAAAGTATAATATCTGTTCTACAGAAATAGATCAGCAGCAAGGAACTGGTAATAAGTATGATAAGCTGCAAAGATGAAAGAATTTCAATAAGAGTGACTAGTTTCATAGAAGTAAATTGTAGAATAAAGGTCAAGAAAACTGAAAGAAGTATATACATAAACCATATCAACATATTAGAGATAAGAAAGAGAAGAATGAAAAGATGGAAGATAGGTGAGAGATAAAAACAAACTTGTGGTTTTGTGGAAAAGGCCAAAGGGAAGTTGGAAGTTATAGGCTTTAGAATACTGAATCTGATTTTTTTTTTTTTTTTTTTTTGTGTGTGTGTGTGTGTGTGTGTGTGTGTAAGAGCTTGATTTGGATGTTTTTAAAAAACAAAAGGAATTTTTTTGTAAACCAGTGAAGAAAAATATATGTGTTAGATGAAAAGGTCCTATTAGTAACATATGAGTCTTAAAAAAAAAATGTGAAAGAAGTGGAATATGGAGAAGAGCAATAAAAGAAGAGCATTGTTCTTCCATTTAGTCTTCTATATAATTCTCCTAATCTGACAATTCTCTGAAGTGCTCTTTACTACTTATTCTTAGTCAGAGGCAAAACTATATTCTTAGAGTGGTGATGCTAACATAAAATGAGTTCCCTATTGTCAAGAAAAGGATTATTCATGGGGTTTGACATCAGAATTTGCTTTCTTCTGCTTTCTGGCCATTCACGTTGCACAATTATTTTGCTCTCACTGCTTACACAATTCTTTTTGGGGGCAACCTGTTGGGGAAGTGTGGAAAAACTGGATGATGCAAGAGATAGGGAGGTAGGTGTGTGTTCATGCATATGTGTAGACACACAGTGAATTACCTATAATCTGCTAGTAGTCTCTAAACTAGGTGCTTTTCCATGTGTTAGCTTGCTTAATTCCCACAAATTATTCTTTGAAATAGTATTACTTCATTTTTCCCAAAGAGAAATTTTTTGAAAAAAGAAGTAATTTGCCCAAAGTCATGCAACACCTATATAAAAAGGGAAGATCACCTGTAGCAATCACTATTGAATGAATGGGATTTCAGGAATCCTGATAATGTCAAGACTTATAGATATTAATGTGGGACTGAAATTAGGAGTGCATAGTTATAAAGGCACGGTGCTCAAATTACAATTCCAGAACTCAAAGAGATATGCTAAAGGTGGGTAAAAAATCAGACTAATCCCAGATAACTAGATAATCAGTGATTAATGATTCATTTCAGAATTTGCCAGATTTGGATGAATTGTAGAGTTGAAGTGTACCACAAGCCATCATCTTAGTTCTTTTTTAAAAAATATGTTTCTCCCCTAGCCAGTTTTTTTCTCAGTGATTAGAGTATCAGCCTGCAGATTGAATGGTCCTGGGTTCAACACCAGTCAAGGGCACAGCCTGAGTTGTGGGCTCAGTTCCCAGTGGAAGGTATGAAGGAGGCAGCAAATCAATGATTCTCTTTTATCATTGATATTTCTATCTCTTCCTTTCCCTTCCTTTCTAAAATATAAAAAATAAATAAAATATGTGTCTATTGATTTCAGGGAAAGGAAAGCAGTGGAATAGAGAGATAAAAACATCAATAAGGAAAGAGAATCATCTATTGCCTGCCTGCTGCATGCCCCCTACTGGGGATTGAGCCCAGGAGGCATTTGCCTTGACTGGGAATTGAACCATGGTCTCCTGGTTCACAGGTTGATGCTCAACCACTGAGTCACACTGGCCAGGCATCTTATTTCTTCATCTAATCCCTGTTCCCTCTGTCTCCATCAGGACCTTATGCTGCATCTCTTTCTTGGCGTTCCATTGCTGTGACTTTGGGAATCCTATGCTTGGTAATACTGGTGATAGCCATAATCCTGGGTACTATGGGTGAGTACTACTGTAGGAGATTAACAGCAACATATATTTAACAAGCATTTATAATGTGCCAGACATTTTTTTAAAGCTTGACATGCATAATGTAATTTAGTCTATATATTAACCCTAATTGGTGCTATTAATCCTTATTTTATTTATAAGGGAAGTAAGAGTCTGGGAGGCTATTTTACTTTTTTTTTTTTTAACGCATTTTATTGATTTTTTTACAGAGAGAAAGAGAGAAGAATAGAGAGTTAGAAACACCGATGAGAGAGAATCATCAATCAGTTGCCTCTCGCACATCCCCTACATGCCCTTGACCGGAATTGAACCAGGGACCTTTCAGTCCACAGGCCAACGCTCTATCCACTGAGCCAAACCGGTTTCAGCCTTTTACTTTTTAAGGATTATAAACTACAATAGTTAGTGGTAGGACCATGATTAGGAATTTGGGCAATGTGTCTAAAAAACTCATACTCTGAACTACATTCCTTCACTATCTCCCTGGTTTCAAAGCTGTGGAATTTCTGGAACAACCTAATGAAAGGAAACCTGTGGAAGTGAAGAATAAAATACAAAGTGGTGCTATCTTTCTAATAAAATAAATTCCCTAACAAGACTATAAGCTATTCTGATACCTCATGATTTAAGAAAACTGTTTTATATCTCATCTTTAATAGAAATGCTGTTGGGTAACAGCAGAAATTACCTGAGGCACTTACTAAGTACTTAGTAGATATTTTGTAATGGATGAATAAATCCCCTTAGATTTTATACCTCATGCATTCTGTTGTCAATAAGGTACTATTTTGCCTTCAGAGAGTATTTATTAGATTATTTAATTATCAAGTGGTTATTGAGTACAGTCTACTTTAAAGGTACTGGGCAGGTTCTCAAGTAGCTCTCATTTTAAAAAATTAAAAAAAAAAGAAAGATAGAAGATTTGTTATTATTTCAAATTTATCATAACTCCAATCGACTTTATTCTATGTGCTTCTTTATATTTAATACTCTCTCTTCTTCTCTGATTTATTTTTCCTTTTTTTTACTATGCCATCTTCATGGAAGTTGTTTTCCTCCCAACTATTTAATCTGTCTATCATCTATTTATCTACCAGCTATCAATCTTTACCTCTGCATCAGCAATGTGTTATCTGTTTATTGTTAATAAAAAATGTATTTCTTTCCTTGGTTCGTATGGCTCAGTTGGTTGAAGTGTCGTCTCATGCACCAAAGGGTCACTGTCGGTTCCCAGTCAGAGTACAGGCCCAGATTACAGGTTCCATTCCTTGTCTGGGCATGTGTGAGAGGCAAATGATCAAAGCTTCTTGCATCAACATTTCTCTCTCTCTCCTTTTTCCTTTCTTTCTAAAATTAGTAAAACAAACAACAACAAAAACCCATATCCTTGGGTGATGATTAAAAAAAAAAAGTATCTCTCTGGCCATCATCAGTCTGCTGTCTATATCTACAAATCTGTTTCTATTTTACTTGTTCATGTATTTTGTTCTTTAGATTCCATATATGCTGTAAGTGGTATGGTATTGGTCTTTACCTGTCTGACTTACCTCATTTAACATAATATGTTCTAAGATTTCATTCTTTTTTATGGCTTAGTCATATTTCATATATATATATATATATATATATATATATATATATATGGAGAGAGAGAGAGAGAGAGAGAGAGAGAGAGAGAGAGAGAGAGAGAGAGAGAGAGAGAGAGAGAGAGAGACAGAGAGGAGGGGGAGTGTCTATTGATGGTTGCTTGGGTTGTTTCCATATTTCCATATCTTGGCTATTATAAATAAGACTATAGTAAACACAGGATGCATACATTCTTTTGAATTAGTCTTTATATTATAATAAACATATGGATTTTGGAGTTTAAATTTTCAAACATAGTAGAATGATCCTTTTGTCACTATTGTTGGCATATAAAGGTATTTGGAGATCCAATTCAGGAAGCAACTCGTTGAAGAATGACAATTTTCCATCAAGAAATAAAGAGAACCACAATCAACCCACACAATCATCTTTAGAAGAGACTGTGGATTCTCCCAAGGCTCTCACCACCACAGGCAAGGGCAAAGTTAAATAGTTAATGGAATTCTTGATTCAGGAGGGTTAATTATTGGTGTTCTGGCCTGGAAGGGTTGGGGAAGAGAAAATTTTTACATGCAGTGATTGTGCATTCAAAGAAAGTACACATCAGTATTATCTCAGTCTAAAATGCCCCTGTCATATATACAATAAAATTATATCATAACTATCCATGTACTTGGCTGAACAGTTCTAAGTTGGATTTCCCCCCCCTCCCCACCCCCCCTGCCCAAATCAGTAACTCATTTATCCCTGTCTATGTGTTTAGGCCTACAGGAGATTTTATAATTTGAAATATATTATTTGCCTTTGGGGAATTGACATTTTACAGTAATATAGTAAGAATAAAAAATAGCACATCAGAAAGGAAAAAAGGGAGAGATAAAGAAAAGAAGGAAACATGTTGGCAAGAATTAAGAGGCTAAATGACACACATATAGGAGAGATAGAACTAATATGTTCCTGAAAACTCTAGTTAAATTATTTTTTTATCACACAATTTCACTATAATTTTATATATATTTAATCTTCTAATTGTATCATAATTGAATATAACACTTTTACTTTAATTTTTCTTCTGTGTACCCATCCTTCTTCATGATTTTATCAAGTAGCTAATATTATGAAACATCAATAATCTGTAATGTGAATAACTGTTCTTATACTTTTTTTCATTTGGAAAATTGCCTTCTGAAATGGATCTCATACCTGTAAAAAAAGTTAACATGAAATTACCATATACCTCATGATTTATTTTAAGAATTATGAAGAAAGGGAGTTCCTAGCTGAATTTGAAGGAATGATGGATAAGAAAAAAAGGAAGATTGACTGTCTAAAACACTTTTATAATGAACTCATTTTAAAATTTAAATGAATGGGGAAATTTTAATATGTCCTATTTTGTAAAGTCATATTCTTATAGTTTGAATTCAAATGGAAATATTTTGATGGTGAATCATTAATTATTTATTGTGGCCTCAGGATTCATGGTACTTGCGCCACATCATAGTTATCTTCTATTTCCAGGAGTTCTTTCCAGCTCTTGTCCTCCTAACTGGATTGCACACGAGAGTAGCTGTTACCTTTTTGGCATATCATTGAATTCTTGGAATGAAAATAAAAGACAGTGCTCTCAACTGGACTCTTATCTCCTGAAGATAGACAGTTCAAAAGAATTGGTAAGTGTAGATTTCAATTATAATTATATGTAGTCTATATTGAGCAGAAAAATAGAGATAGATTCCAGGTAATTATAATCTTCCTTAAGAAAAACTGATATTGAAGGAGAACCAAGATGGTGGCATAGGTAAACACCTATACTTGCTCCTCTGACAATCACATCAAAATTACAACTAAAAGGCAGAACAACTACCACCCAGAACTACAGAAAAGCTGGCTGAGTAGAAGTTCCACAACTAGAGAGATGAAGAAAGCTCATTGAGACTGATAAGAGGTATAAAGGCATAGAAAGTGCTGGCACCTGGATTTGCTGCTCTTTTAATCAGGAGGGAGATACAAGTTCCCACTTGCTCTGATCCAGTTCCAGGTGAGACTCTGGGGGTCCCAGACACATACGGGGAGAAACTGGACTGTCTGGCATCAGGACAGGAACATGAGGGCGACTTTCTTTCATAAGTACTCACAGCAATCATTGTTCCTGCATAGGGACATGGGATGCAGAGACCTGAGGATCTTTCCAGTGCAGGGTTGACTGGCAGCCATTGTTATTTGCTCTGCCCTGTTGATTTTCAGCGACCTGGCCACACCCATTTTACAACCCCACCCAAGCTATGAGCTTTTGCATATAAATGGCCTGTCCTTTCTCTGCCTAAAACCTGTCAAACTGCAGCTGGGTCAGAGAGCCCCAGAGCTCCCAAAAGAATGCTCAAGGCCTGGCAGGAGCAGCTGGCCTTGCTTCACAGCTGGGCCTCAACTGGGTACTTCCAAAGCAAATACAAAGAGGAGGAACCTGCTGGGTGGCCCCAGTCAGTGGCTAACCTTACACATCCTTTGAGATCCAAGAGCCAGTGTACCCAGTGATCAGAGTGAGACCATACTGGGTTACAACTCTTCACATCCATAAGAGACACACTCAAAGGGCAGACTCGGTGAGCACCAAAGCCCCACTGAAGCATGTCATGCCCCATAAGGGTGTCTCCTGCACAACAGATCTTCCAGTGTAGACACATCTGGTCATCATAGCCAATTGGCCTTAAGGTCAATTCCTCCCAGTGAAACCAATAGCAATCAAGGTTTAACTACAACAAGTCTCTGCAAACAGCCACAAAGGGGTGCACCAAGAGTGTTCACCTCAGGTGACTGAGGAGGCTGAGCCACTGGGCCCTATAGGATACCTACCACACAGGGCCACTCTTTCAACTCAAGGAAACTTAGCAGCTACCCAGTACATAGAAAAACAAAACAAAACAAAACAAAAAAAACACAGGGAAGCAGCCAAAATGTAGAGACAAAGAAAAAAGTCACAAATGAAAGAAATGGCTGAAAGCAAAATACTGGATATAGAGTTTAAAATCATAGTTATAAGGTTACTCAAGAATCTTCTAGAAACCTCTGAGAAATTTAGTAAGACCCTCAAGGATATGAAAAAGGACCAATCAGAAATTAACTATACACTGACTGAAATAAAGAATAATATAGAGATTCAACAGCAGACTAGAGTATCCCAAGAATCAAGTCAAAGATTGGAAATATAAAGAAGCAAAACACACCCAACTGGAAAAGCAAAAAGAAAAGAGAATCCAAAAATGTGAAGATAGTGTAAGACGCCTCTGAGACAACTTCAAGAATACCAACATCAGAATTTATGGGACTGCTAGAAGAAGGGAGAGAGAACAAGACATTGAAAACTATTTGAAGAAATAATGATAGAGTACTTCCCCTACCACTTACAAGTCTAGGAAGTGCAGAGAACCCCAAACAAGAGGAACCCAAAGAGGACCACACCAAGACATATCATAATTAAAATGCCAAGGGCAAAAGACAAAGAGAATCTTAAAAGCAGCAAGAGAAAAACAGTTAGTTATCTACAAGCTGATTTCTCAACAGAAACTATGCAGGCCAGATAAAAGTGGTGAAATATATTCCCAAGGGATGAATAGCAAGAACCTACAACCAAGATTACTCTACCCAGCAAAGCTATCATTCAGAAGTGAAGGTCAGATAAAGAGCTTCACAGACAAGGAGAAGCTAAATGAGTTCATCACTACCAAGCCAGTATTATATGAAATGCTGAAGGGTATTCTCTAAGAAGAGAAAGAAGAAGAAAAAGGTAAAGAAAAAATTATGAACAACAAAGTGACAACAAATACATATCTATCAACAAGTAACCTAAAAATTAAGTCAATAAAAAATCTGATGAACAGAATAAACTGGTGAATGGAATAGAATTAGGGGCCTGCAAAGAGAGAAGACTGACAATTCTCAGGGGGAAGAGATTGGACAAAGAGCTTACACCTATAGATGAGTTCAGTGGGTGCCTGGAGTGGAGTGGGAACCAGATGGAGGGGAGCTATGGGAGGAAAAAGGAGAAACAATTGTAATAATCTGAGCGATAAAGATTTATTTAAAAAATAATAAAAAAAATAAAAAGAGGAACATCTGTAATAATCTGAACAAAAAAAATTAAGTTAAATAAAATAAAAGCAAAAAAGGTGATATTTATTATTCTCCATAATTATATTAATAGCATGCATTAAGTAGATACTGTTTATAAATTATGTTTTCCATTTTAATTAATTAATTAAAAAATAAGCACATTGTATTTTAAAAAAATTTCTTATGAATACACTGTAAGTTTGCATGACTATAATAATCAGGCAACTACTAATTTTCATGGGTTTGGATTTCAATTTTTAAATTTGGTGATAGAATATTATCCCCCTTGTCATCATAATTATCAAGAAACATAGCTGCAATAATAATATATATTTATACAAAATTTAATCCTTAAAATATTGGAAAAGGCAAAAGAAGTGAAAAGGTAAACTTGATATTACAATGCTCATGTAATTTGTAAGAAAAAAGAAACAACTACTGTTAAAAGTTAAACACTTGGGCCCTGACTGGGTGTCTCAGTTTATTGGAGCATCCTCCTGTACATTAAAAAGGTTGCTAGCTCATTTCCTGGTCAGGGTACATAGCTAGGTTGTAAGTTTGATCTCTGGTCATGGTGCACATGGGAGGCAACTGATCAATGTTTCTCTCTGTCTCTTTTTTCTAAAGTCAACAAAAAATATCCCTGGCTGAGCATTTTTTAAAAAGTTAAATATTTGGTATTAACAGCAAATGTGATAAGAATTCAGAGGTGGAACTTACAACTCATCATGAATGAAGCTGAGGACTAAGATGGTCTATAGGAAGGATTAGTAATCAGGAAACATTCTACACTATGAATTTAAACAAATTAAATTAATGACTGAAGAAATAGGCCTTTTGAGACACTCAGTGGTACTCAAGAATTGGCACTTCTCTCAAGGTTGATGCCAGTGTACACATGCATCCTTCACCAAGGTGACTCACAGTGTCTATAAAAACATCTCTCTGTCTTTCTATCTCTGTCATCTCTGTTTATCTCTCTCTTCTTGACTTGTATTTGTGTTTATGTTTCCCTACAGGAATTTATAACAAAGCAAGTGTCTTTCCAACCTGATAACTCATTTTGGATAGGGCTCTCTCGCGCTCAGGCTGAAGGACCATGGCTCTGGGAGGATGGCTCAAAATTCTCTCCTAACTTGTAAGTAATTAGAGCAGTGATTCTCAACCTTCCTAATGCCGCGACCCTTTAATACAGTTCCTCATATTGTGCTGACCCCCAACCATAAAATTATTTTTATTGCTACTTCATAACTGTAATTTTGCTACTGTTATGAATCGTTATGTACATATCTATATTTTCTGATGGTTTTAGGTGACCCCTGTGAAAGGGTCGTTTGACCCTCAAAGGGGTCGCGACCCACAGGTTGAGAACCGCTGACCTAGAGAGACAAATTCTCATACCCTTTCTTAGAAAGGGAAGGACATATCAAGCAGTTAAGAATCTGACTTGCCTCTTCTACCCAGTTCCCATCCCATCCCAGGCCTTTACCACCCTATTGTCTATGTCCATGGGCAATGCATATCTATATATATAAATAAAGGAGTTTGATCATTCGCTATGATGTGAACTGACCACCAGGGGGCAGCGCAGAATGAAGGAAGGCCCTGGCCTGCAGCTGGCAGCCAGCAGGCAGCAGCCAGCAACTGGTGAAGGAAGGCCCCAGTTGGCCCTGATCACCCTCCAGGCCTAGGGACCCTATCTGTGCATGAATTTCTTTCACCGGGCCTCTAGTATGCATATAAATTCTTTGGTTAATCTTTTTCTGCCACCCCCACTTCCCTCTCAGAGATTACAGATATAAATTAAATCATGGTATTTGTCTTTTTCTGTCCGACTTATTTTACTTAGCTTAATATGCTCAAGATCCATCCATGTTGTCACAACTTATAAGATTTCAATTTTTAAATTTTTTTTAATTTTATTTATTTATTTTATTAAATTATTATCTGTGTACATATTTTGACATTGCCCCCCCACCCCCATATATAGCCTCCCTCCCCAGATTTTTGTATCCATTGGTTGTACTTATATGAATGTATACAAGTCCTTCAGTTGATCTATTATCTCCCCCAGATATCCCTACCCTCCCTGCTGTAATTTGACAGTCTGCTTGTTGCTTTACTGTCTTTATATCTGACTTTTGGTTCATCAGTTTATAATGTTCTTTAATATCCATAAATGAGTGAGGTCATGTGGTATTTCTCTTTCATTGACTGGCTTATTTCACTCAGCATGATGTTCTCCAATTCCATCCAGGTTGCTGCAAATGATGAGAATTCCTTCTTTTTTATGGCAGCATAGTATTCCATTGTGTAGATGTACCATAGTTTTTGGATCCAATCATCTGCTGATGGGCACCTAGGCTGTTTCCAGATTCTAGTTATTGTAGATTGTGCTGCTATGAACATAGGGGTGCATATATCCTTTCTGATTGGTGTTTCTAGTTTCTTGGGATATATTCCTAGAAGTGGGATTACTGGGTCCAATGGGAGTTCCATTTTCAGTTTTTTGAGGAAACTCCATACTGTCCTCCACCAGTCTGCATTCCCACCAGGAGTGCACGAGGGTTCCTTTTTCTCCGCAACCTCTCCAACATTTGTCATTTGTTGATTTGTTGATGTTGGCTATTCTGACAGGTGTGAGATGGTACCGCATTGTTGTTTTGATTTGCATCTCTCGGATAATTAGTGAAATTGAGCATTTTTTTCATGTGCCTCTTGGCCTTCCTTCTGTCTTCTTTTGAAAATATTCTATTTAGGTCCATTGCCCATTTTTTAATTGGATCATTCATTTTTCCTTTTATTTAGTTGTATAAGCTGTCTATAGATGTTGGAGATTAAACCTTTATCAGTGGTAACATTTGCATCGGTCTGCGGACTGAAAGATCCTGGGATCGATTCTGGTCAAGGGCATGTACCTTAGTTGCGGGCACATCCCCAGTCCTATACAGTGGGCTTTCTTGTTGTTTTGTTGATGGTTTCTTTTGCTGTAAAAAAAGCTTTTTATTTTGATGTAGTCCCATTTGTTTATTTTCTCTTTAGCTTCCATTGCCCTCGGGGAAGTATCAGTGAAGAAGTTCTTTTGGCATATGTGGATGCCTGTGGATGCCTCTAGTATTTTTATGGTTTCCCGTCTTATGTTTAAGTCCTATATCCATTTTGAGTTTATTTTAGTGTATGGTGTAAGTTGGTAATCTAGTTTCATTCTTTTGCATGTATCTGTCCAATTTTCCCAACACCATTTATTGAAGAGACTGTCTTGACTCCATTGTATATCTGTGCCTTCTTTGTCAAATATTAATTGAGCATAGTGATTTGGGTTGATATCTGGGTTCTCAATTCTATTCCATTGATCTATATGTCTGTTCTTGTGCCAGTACCAGGCTGTTTTGAGAACAGTGGCTTTGTAATACAGCTTGAAGTCTGGTATTGAGATCCCTCCTACTTTACTCTTCTTTCTCAGGATTGCTGTGGCTATTCTGGGTTTTTTATTGTTCCAAATGAACTTTTGGAGAGTTCTTTCTAGGTCAGTGAAATATGCCATTGGTATTTTATGGGGAGTGCATTGAACCTATAGATTGCTTTAGAAAATATTGACATTTTGATGATGTTGATTCTACCAATCCATGAACATAGTATGTTCTTCCATCTGTTTACATCTTCCTCTATCTCTTTTTTCAATGCCGTGTAGTTTTCCGCATATAGGTCTTTTACTTCCTTAATTAAGTTTATTCCTAGGTATCTTAATTTTTTTGGTGCGATGGTAAATGGAATTGCTTTTTTAGTCTCTGTTTCTATAAGTTCACTGTTGGTGTATAGAAATGCCATAGATTTCTTGGTGTTAATTTTGTATCCTGCTACATTGCCAAATTCATTTATTAAGTCAATTAGTTTTTTAATGGAGTATTTTGGTTTTTTTTATGTACAATATCATGTCATCTGCAAATAAGGATAACTTTACTTCTTCTTTTCCAATTTGGGTGCCTTTTATTTCCTCCTCTTGTCTAATTGCAAATGGCTAGTACTTCCAGTACTATGTCAAAGAGGAGTGGCGATAGTGGGCATCCCTGTCTTGTTCCTGTTCTTAGAGGGAATGGTTTTAGTTTTTGCCCATTGAGTATGATGTTGGCTGTGGGTTTATCATATATAACTTTTATTATGTTGAGGTATGATCCTTGTACTCCCACCTTGTTGAGAGTTTTTATCAGGAAAGGGTGTTGGATTTTATCAAATGCTTTTTCTGCATCAATTGATATGACTATATGATTTTTATCTTTCAATTTGTTTATGCGATGTATCACTTTTATTGATTTGTGGATATTGTACCATCCTTGCATTCCTGGAATAAATCCTACTTGGTTAAGGTGTATGATCTTTGAGATGCTCTGCTGGAGCCGATTTGCTAGAATTTTGTTGAGGATTTTGGCATCTATGTTCATGAGGGATATTGGCCTGTAATTCTTTCATTGAGTTGTCTTTATCTGGTTTTAGTATTAGGGTGATGCTGGCTTCATAGAAGCAGTTTGGAAGTGTTCCTTCCTCTTGAATTTTTCGGAATAGTCTGAGGAGGATAGGTTTTAGTTCTTCCTTAAATGTTTGGTAAAACTCTCCTGTGAAGCCATCTGGCCCTGGGCTTTTGTTTGCTGGAAGCTTTTTCTTTAATTTTCTTTTTCTTTCTTTTTTTTTTTTAAATATATTTTTATTGATTTTTTACAGAGAGGAAGAGAGAGGGATAGAGAGTTAGAAACATCTATGAGAGAGAATCATCGATCAACTGCCTCTTGCACATCCCCTACTGGGGATGTGCCCACAATTAAGGTACATGCCCTTGACCGGAATCGAACCCAGGACCTTTCAGTTCACAGACCGATGCTTTATCCACTTAGCCAAACCGGTTTCGGCATGCTGGAAGCTCTTTGATGACTGCTTCAATTTCTTCCCAAGTTACTTTTCTATCCAGATTTTTAGATTCTTCCTGATTGAGTTTTAGAAGGTTGTATTTTTCTAGGAATATGTCCATTTCCTCCAGGTTGTTCAGTTTGTTGGAACAGAGTTGTTCGTAGTATTTTGTAACAATCCTTTGTATTTCGGCAAGGTCTGTTGTTATTTCACCTCTTTCATTTCTGATTTTGTTTATTTGAGTCCTCTCTCTTTATTTCTTGGTTAGCCTGGCTAGAGGTTCATCTATCTTGTTTATCCTCTCAAAGAACCAGCTCTTGGTTTTGTTTATCTTATGTATTGTTTCTTTGGTCTCTATGTTGTTTATCTCCTCTCTGATTTTTGTTATTTCCTTCCTTCTGGTTACACTGGGCTTTTCTTGTTGCTCTTTTTCTAACAAATTTCAATTTTTTTATGACCAAGTAATATAGTATTGGATATATGTAGCACTTCTTTTTTATCTTATCATCTGTTGATGGGCACTTGGGCTGCTTTAATATCTTGGTTATTGTAAATAACACTGCAATGCACATAGGGGTGTTTATATCTTTTGGAATTAGTGCTTTGGATTTCTTTGAATAAATTCCAAGAAGTAGAGTTGCTGGGTTATAAGGTAGTTCTATTTTTTAAAATGTATTTTTATAAATTTCAGAGAGGAAGCATGAGGGATAGAGAGATAGAAACATCAATGATGGGAGAGAATCACTGATTGGCCACTTCCCACATGCCCCACACTGGAGGATTGAACCCACAACCCAGGCATGTGCCCGACCAGGAATTGAAGCATGATCCTCCAGTTCATAGGTCAATGCTCAACCATTGAATAACACTACCAGGGCATAAAGTAGTTTTATTTTTAATTTTTGAGGAATCTCCTTAGTAGTTGCACCAATCTGCATTCTCACCAACAATGCACAAGGGGTCTCTTTCCTCCATATCCTCACCAACACTTGTTGTTTGTTGATTATTGATGATAGCTATTCTGACAGGTGTGAGGTGGTATCTCATAGTGGTTTTAATTGCATTTCTCTGATGGTTAGTGATTTTGAGCATCTTTTCATATGTCTATTAGCCATCTGTATGTTCTCTTTGGAGAAATGTGTATTCTGATCCTCTGCCCACATTTTTTTTTTTGTCTTGTTTACTTTTTTCTTTATTTATTATGTTATATGAGTTCTTTATAAATTTTGGATATTAATCCCTTACCAGATGTATCATTGGCAAATACCTTCTCAGGATTGGTAAGTTGCCTTTTCATTTTCTTGATTTTTTTTTTCTGTGTAAAGAATTTTTTAGTTTAATGTAATCCCATTTGTTTATTCTTTCTTTTGTCCCCTTTGCCTACTGAGATATCCTATATAATAAAAGCCTAATATCCTAAGTGTCCAGTAGGCTGGTCAACCAATCAAAGCATAATATGCTAATGATATGCTAAAGCTGCTCAACCATTCACTATGATGTTCACTGACCACTAGGGGGCAGATGCTCTGACGGGTAGGTTAGCTTGTTGCTGGGGTCTGGCCCATCAGGACTGAGCGAGACTGGCCAGACATGCCCTGGAGCCTTCCCGCAACTCCTCCCCAGCTGGCTAACCTTCCATGTCCCTTCCTGGCCCTGATTGTGCACCAGTGAGGTCCCTCAGCCTGGCCTGAAATCTCTTGCAATCTGGGACCCCTTGGGGGATGTCAGAGAGCCAGTTTCAGCCCAATCCCACAGGCGAGGCTGAGAGACCCCACTGGTGACACAAATTCATGCACCAGGCCTCTCATATTAGAAATAATGCTTTTTTATTAAAATCAAAAGAGGGGTTCCAAATTAATATTTTGATACTTTACTATGCCTCGGTTTTCTGGGTGGCTGTAATTTAATCTAGGTCCGTCCATATCCAAACAAACGTCTTGGACTTGGATGTCAAGTTAGATTTTTGGAGAACACTGGTCAGATTTCTCCCAGAGGCCTTAATCAAAATTGTTTCATGCCTTTAGCCTAGCCCTTTTAACAGAAGAATTCTCTCAATCCTCCATGCACAGGGCCCAGGGGAGATAGAAAGGCAAGATGATGTGTATCAGATTATTGTTTTTACCCTGTGGCTCAGTGATGTCCTTGTAGCTTGAGTAATTAGTACTGCTCATTCAGGAGACTGAAGAGGAAATAGAACAAAGCCATACTACTTACCCAGGGTAGTTAATGTAATTGTCTGACATTGTATTTTTTTTTTTTTTTTACATTGTATTCTAATACAATTCTGTTTTAGGATGCATTGTTTTATTGCATCCTAAAACAGAATTGAAATATTGATATTTTTTTCTCCCTTTCTTTAAATGGCTTTTGCTATCTTTGATTCCTCATTCAGTTCTTGATCCCTTTCAGCAATAACTCTTTTACTTGGTCTACTAACCAATATACCCAATAATAATTTCACTTAACTGTTGCTTTATTTGATAAATATACTTCTAGGATAGAGTTTGAGAGATAAGCAAAGAACTGCTTATAGAATATTGTTTTGTCTGAAGCTTTATTTAATTTTATGCAAGTAGTACTATTTCTTAAAATCATAAGCAGACGTTTAGAAAAATTAAACAAAACAAATAAAAACAACAACATATAAACAGACCCATTACCCATCAATTGGTGAGGGGATAAAAAAGCTGTGGTAGGCCCCTAGCTGGTTTGGCTCAGTGGATAGAGCATCAGCCTGCAGTCTGAATGGTTGTGGGTTCGATCCCTTGGTCCTGGTCCAGGCATGTGCAGGAGGCAACCAATTGTCATGTCTCTCTCACGTCAATGCTTCTTGCTCTCTGTCTCCCTCTCTCTCTTCCATTCTCTCTAAAAATCAATAGAAAATATCTTCCGGTGAAGATTAACAACAAAAAGTTGTGGTATATTTACACACTACAATACTAGTCTGCCATACAAAAGAAGGAAATCTTACTTTTTGTGACAGCATGAATGGACCTGTAGAGAACTGTGCTAAGTGAAATAAAGTTGTCAGAAAAAGACAAATACATTATGAGTGCATTCACATGTGGAATCTAATCAACAAAATAAATTAACAAACAAAATAAAAGCAGACTCATAGGTAATGAGAACAAACTGAGAGCTGTCAGAGGTGAGAGGGGTTGGGGAGCTGGGTGAAAAAGGTTAAGGGATTAAGCAAAACAAAAGAAACAAACAAATGAAGAGGTGGAATAAAGCAAAAGGGGGATAAATGATGGTGGAAAGAAACTTGACTTTGGGTGGTGAGTGCACAATGCAGTATGCCGATGATGTTTTATGGAATTGTACATTTGCAACCTGTATGGTTTCATTAACCAATGTGACCCCAATAAATTAAATTTTAAAAAAGTTCAGTCACTTTAATATCTTACCTAGGGACCTGGTGCACGAATTCATGCATAGGTACGGTCCCTCGGCCTGGCTGGTGATCCAGGTCTCCTGGGGGGCCATGGGAGGGACCATGGGAGGTTGGCTGTGGGAGTTAACTGACCACCAAGGGGCAGCTCCTGTGTTGAGTGTCTGCCCCCTGGTGGTCAGTTCACATCATAGCAACTGTTTGACCAGTTGTTCTGATCATTCTGATTGTTCAGATGTGATGATTGCTTAGGCTTAGATAGATAGATAGATAGATAGATAGATAATGAAGGATATATTACCATTTGAGAACTAACACAATCTAAATTCAAGTCTCCTTTTCCAATAAATGTAGACACTTAAGAACTCTTTTTACTAATATCCTCAACGATTTATTTCAGCATTGTGTGAATAGTAGTCTGTATTCTTTGTTTGTTCTAATTATCTCATTGCACTTTATTTTAATAGGTTTCAAATCAGAAGCACAGTTACCCAGGAAAACTCATCCCACAATTGTGTATGGATTCACGTGTCAATAATTTATGACCAGCATTGTAGTATGCCCTCATATGGTATTTGTGAGAAGAAGTTGTCGAAATAATGATGTGGGTGTTGACAGAGTGAAGTATATAAGCCTAGAGGCCCAGTGCATGAAATCATGTGAGAGTAGGGTCCCTGTGATCAGGGCCATCTTCCGCATGCTCTCCAGGCCCCAGACTCACCCTGTTGCCTCCACCCACCCCGGGTCTAGGTTGGCCCGGCGATTAATTTGGGTGTGCAGGCTGGGGCAGGGACCAAGAGGTCTGCCTTCATCCCTCTTGCCAGCCCCCAGTCTTGCTTCACTGCCACCCACCCTGGTTCCTCATTAGCCATCAAGTGATCTGAGCCTGCAGGCTGGAAGGAGAGACTGAGAGGTAGTCAATGCACCTCATAGTGACTGGTCAATCAGTCGTTCTGGTCATTACACTGTTATGGTTGCTGGCCTTTTATTATAGATGGTATTATAGTAAGGAGGGAAGAAAACAAAACACAAATGAGAGATATTTGAGGTCAAAATAAATGCTGGAAACATCTAAAGAGCTCAGCCAACCTTAATCTTAGCTGAGATACAGGATGGATAGAGTGTGATTTCTGTACATTAACTCAATTGGTAGTCCAGTATTATGTTCCATTATACTAATGGAGTTAGTATAGCATAACTTGAATCTTTATTTTACAATTGACCTGGCATTTACCTAGGATTAATCAGAATTCTTTGGTGTTTCAGGAGATCTTAATTTCTGACTGTAACAAAGTAATTCTTATCCTTAAAAGTGCTTTATACTTTACCAAATGATCCCGCTGGTAATCTTATACCCACCTGGAACCACACATAGTTATTACAATATTATTGAATCTATTTCCCATGCTGTATTCTACATCTCCAGGATTATTTTGTAATTATCAATTTGTACTTATTAATCCTTCACCTTTTTCACCCAGCCCTCCACCCCCTTCCCATCTGTCAACCATCAGACTGTTCTTTGTATGTATGAGCCTGTTTCTGTTTTGTTTATTTTGTGCTTTTGATTAAACATACAAATAAAATAATTTGGTATTTATATTTCTCTGACTTATTTCACTTAACATAATATGCTCAAGGTCCATCCCTATTGTTTCAAATGGTAAGATTTCATTTAAAAAAATATATTTTATTGATTTCTTACAGAGAGGAAGAGAGAGGGACAGAAAGTTAGAAACATCAATGAAAGAGAATCATCGATCAGCTGCCTCCTGCACACCCCACTGGGGATGTGCCCACAACCAAGGCACATACCCTTGACCAGAATCGAACCTGGGACCCTTCAGTCTGCAGGCCAACGCTCTATCCACCTGTTTTGGCAGATTTCATTTTTTATAGCCAAGTAATATTCCATTGCTTATGTACCACCTCTTTTTAATCCAATCATCTATTGATGGACACTTAGGTTGCTTCCATATCTTGGTTATTGTAAATAATGCTGCAATACACATAGGGATGCATATACCTTTTGGAATTAGTGTTTTGGATTTCTTTGAATAAATTCCCAGAAATAGAATTTCTGGGTCATAATGTACTTTATTATTTTTTAAATATATTTTTATAGATTTCAGAGAGAAAGGGAAAGGAAGAGAAAAATAGAAACATCATGCCGAAATTGGTTTGGCTCAGTGGATAGAGCGTCGGCCTGTGGACTGAAGGGTCCCAGGTTCGATTCCGGTCAAGGGCCTGTACCTTAGTTGAGGGCACATCCCCAGTAGGAGGTATGCAAGAGGCAGCTGATCAATGATTCTCTCTCATTGATGTTTCTAACTCTCTATCCCTCTCTCTTCCTCTCTGTAAAAAAATCAATAAAATATATTTAAAAGAAAAAAAGAAAGATAGAAACATCAATGATGAGAGTAAATCATCGATCACCTGCCTCCTGCATGCCCTGACTGGAGATTGAGCCTGCAACCCAGGCACGTGCCCTTGACTGGAATCAAACCAAGGACCCTTTAGTCCACAAGCCAACATTCTACCCACTGAGCCAAACCAGCAAGGGCAAGGTAGTTATATTTTTAATTTTTGAGGTGTTTAACCACAGAGCAGAATTTGCCTCTGTAGGGTCTGGTGCTTGCTTAGACCACCCTCTGGATGTGCCATTTGTGGTGCTAATCAGGTGATGCTCTGCTGTGGTCTGAAGTTGGCCAATGGGAGTATTGTTTCTGAGGCCTCTTAGGAGAGCTTCTGGTGCAGGCCAATGCCAGATACTGCCTATGACTGGCCTGGGTATAATCGCTAGGAGCCACTAAGTGATAGGTCTTGGTAACTGCCTCTGCTGGATCTGGATTTACATGGGAAAATGCACAATGTGAGGCCAGCTTCCACCAGTGACGTAGGGCAGGTCAGCATAGGTCACAAGGCACCTTGAGATAAGCTGCTGTGTCTGTTGCTTGTAAGGCTTGCCTTTGAAAAGGCCTGGAGTGGTATGCAAGTTGGATGAAGCAGGGTCTCTGGGAGTCACGAGGGTAGGATGAATCATGTTTACCAGGTTCATCTAGATTGAGATTTGGTGCTCGTGCTGAGCCTGAGGCCACTCATCAAACGTCACAGTGTACACTGAGGCCAGTCACCCACTGCCTGGGGCCTACAGACCTTTGTGGTGGGTTGGAGACCCAGGGAGTCAACAGGTTGGAGCAAGTTCACCAGATTCAGATTCATGTGGAGGAGGGCTCCACACAATGACATTGGTGGCCTCACCCTAAAGCCACACAGCTCAGTTATCTTCCTGTATGTCTCTGGTACCCTCTGAGCTGGACTGGAATTCCTGGAGAGTTTTGTACGAATAGGTGTGTATTTTTAAAAATATGTATTTTTATTTATTTCAAAGAGGACGGGAGAGGGAGAGAGAACGAGAAACATCAATGATGAGAGAGAATCATTGATCGGCTGCCTCCTGTATGCCCCACACTGGGGATTGAACACAACCTGGGCATGTGCCCTGATCGGGAATCAAACTGTGACCTCCTGGTTCATAGGTTGACACTCAACCACTGAGCAACACTGGCTGGGCAATTGCAGTAATTTTAAAAATAGTTTCCCAGCATCCACCTTGTCCTCTGCTTATTTTCAGACATACCAGAGTGATTCCATTAAATTTAAAGCAAAGCATGTCAGCCTTCTACAAGAACTCTATGATGTCTCATATATCTCAGAGTGAAAAAAAAATAAAAATAAAAGGCAAAAAAAAACCCTTTAAATTGTCCATAAGTCAATCACTGTGGACTACTTTATTCTTTTGAGTCAAGCTATTTTTTTCTCTAAACTCATTCCATTTAGGACACTGATTTTTTTTTTTTTTTATTGTTTCTCAACTAGAGCTGGCATACTTCCGCCTCATACCTATTTAGCTCCCTGTTCTCTTTAGCTGACTGTTACCCTAGAAATTTCCAGGTTTCTCATTTAAGTCTGCAAAAAATATCATTTTCTTAATGTGGCTGACTCTCCTTCATTTAAAATTAGCAACCCTCGCCGGGACTGGTTTGGCTCAATGGATAAAGCTTCGGCTTGGGGACTGAGGGGTCCCGGGTTCGATTCCGGCCGGGGGCATGTGCCTTGGTTGCGGGCACATCCCCAGTGGGGGGTGTGCAGGAGGCAGCTGATCGATGACTCTCTCTCGTCGATGTTTCTGACTCTCTGTCTCTCTCCCTTCCTCTCTGTACAAAATCAATAAAATATATTTAAAAATAAATAAATAAATAAATAAATAAATAAAATAAAATTAGCAACCCTCCTTCCTGTATATTCCTGATCTCCCTTTATCCTCCATATATTTTTCATAACTCTTATCAGAATCTAGTAAGCTAGATTATTATTTTCTTGTATATCATCTGCTTTTCTCCATAGGATGTAGGCTCTAAAAGGAAAGATAATTTTATTTTATACTGATATGTCTCAGATAATAGTACCTTCAATCAAAGAATATTTTTGTCATTGTTAAAAAAAATAATTTAAAGACAAGTAGTAAAATGCCAATGTAGATAGTTGGGCAAAAATTGCCAAAGACCTATGTGAATAACTAAAGTTTGGAAAATAGCTTTCATTGACATTTCATTAGAATCATAATTATCAACATCTCCTTAATGTATATTTTTCAGGCCCCTGTTTTGATTTCTAATATTCATCTTTCTGCCTCATTCTCATTTGTGCTTCACTTACCATTTCCTTCAAAATTTTTTATTGCCTTCTCTTCTATAACCTTTTCTAATATATCAACCCAATGAAAATTACCAAATGATTTTTGATTTCCTACTTTTTTACAAGGCATTATGCAAGAGAAAGGTCTTTTTACTTTTGCTTTATTTAGAATAACTCAGTAAACAATACATAGGTTGAGATGCATGATGAATCCACAATATATAATTTCTGACCCATCCCTCATAAGGGTTGGTGACCCTAATCCAAGCATTTTCCAAACCCTATATTTAGTGTGCTTAATTTAGCCAAGCCATCACCCCCAAATATAGACATATATTAGTAGAATAATATAATTCTACTAGTGGCCTGATGGACAAAATTCGTGCACAGGGGGGGGGGAGGGAAGGGTGTCCCTCAGCCTGGCCTGCACCCTCTCCAATCTGGGACCCCTCGGGGGCTTTCCAACTGCCCATTTAGGGATCAGGCCTAAATCGGCAATTGGATATCCCTTTCACAATCCGGGACCACTAGCTCCTAATTGCTCACCTGCCTGCCTGATCACCCCAACCACACTGCCTGCCATCCTGATTACCCTCAACTTCCCCCCTCCAATCTGATCACCCTGAACTGCCCCCTCTTCTGGCCTGCTCACCCCTAATGGCCTCTGCCTCAGCCTCACCACCATGGCTTTGTCTGGAAGGACATCCAGAAGGTCTCCCAGTCTAATTAGCATATTACCCTTTTATTAGTATAGATTATACTGATTTGGGAAGAATTTTTGGTCACTATCTAAAACAAACTTCTCATTTCCTTCTCAGCTCAGGAAATGTAGGCACAAATTGTCACTAGCTTCCTAAAGTCCCAGGTAGTTAGTAACAATTCTAAAAGTCTTTACTTCCAGGAAATTGTGTTCATTACCATGATGCACCACGTGATATAAAATGTTAAATTGAGTCTTCATATTGAAAGAAGAAAGATTATTGAATTGAACTGACA